CCTTACACCAGGCGTGTACATGTCCAATACACTGTAATGTGTAGGGACCTTACCCCAGGCGTGTACATGTCCTATACACTGTAATGACGAGGGACCTTACACCAGGCGTGTACATGTCCTATACACTGTAATGTGTAGGGACCTTACCCCAGGCGTGTACATGTCCTATACACTGTAATGTTGAGGGACCTAATTACACCAGGCACTTCTTCACCAGGCTTTCATCAGTGTTAGGAGTAGATTTTTTTCAAAAATGGTTGCAAAATGATCTGTAACTATTCTTCATATATCATTACCTATTTGAAGAATACATAATTCTCAAGATATTAACAAAATATAAACTGTTCTTTTACAAATCAATAGCTTGATGCTGTAGTGGTGGCTCAAACACTTAATGGCCAGTATCTTTTACTGTAATCCAACAGTAATCATAGATTCATCAATTACTGATTTCTGTTTTTAAAATTTCCACTTTCTCTATTGTCTTTAAGTTCAGTGTATTTCAGCCCTATTCTGTAAGTTTCCTCATGTTTTCCATTACAAACAATACATTTCTTTAATGGTGTAGATGAAGTTGTATGATTTATCTTGAAATTTCTGCATTTTCAACGGACTGTGGTGTACATTTATTGTGTTACGTTGGTAAAGCTTTAAAATTTGTTTCATAACTGAGGTTCGTGCTTCTTGCCAAGTAACGAGTTGCCTGTGAATTCTGCTTTTCTTCCAAACTAATTATAAAATTAAAATCTCCATACTTTGGCACAAGTAGGAAAGTTAAGCCTGGCATCATGTATTTGTGATTTTAAAGTATAAAATTTAATTATATCGTCTGAATTCTTAAAACCTTTTTCTTAAACTATTTAAAAGAATCTTCTTTATTGAACTGCCATCTTACTACTTCTAAAATATCCCAATCCCAAAAGTTTGATCACGAAATGATTGGATGATTTTTCCGTATCCACGGTTAATTACCGGCATATTCTAGTTATTACATTGAAATTTAATTTAAACTTACTATTTGGATCAAAGCAGCGGTGTATAACATTGAACTTTGATGTGTTGAACTACGAACTTGTTACAGGAGGAAAACATGTAAAACTGCTGCATTACTTAACTCATTCACCCCTACATTTTTCAAATGGATTCACCAAGTCTATGATTTAGTAAGGTTCAAATATGAATTTAGGGGTGAATGGGTTAACATGATGTCTTGATGTGCCTGTAAACATAGGTTCGAAGGCTGGGATCAAGAACAGTTTCTTACCGCTGCTGTTACAAAACATTATTTTACCATCTCATTTTCCAGTTTGTACGAACTAAAATATTTTAACTATTAATCATCACAAGTATATTGCTTGTCCAGTTGTCCTGTTGTAAAATTTGGTTAATACAAATGTTTCCAGGGTTCTTTACATATGGAAAGTTTAATAAAAGGTGTATGTATTCAATGAATCTCGGTCTTAATCAGTCAGTAAAGTGGGCCCAGGCCCCATTCTTCTTACCCAAGGTGTTTTCATGTCACACTATTGTTTTCTAGTGAACATACCACTGATCAGGGGGAAATTACACTAGAACAACATAATGAGTTAGAAGTTGTATTCAATTAGGATGATCAAACTTGTGGTACTCTACCGTAATTATAAGATGAAAATGATACTAGAGACAGCAAGTAAACTCCATATTTGATGTAGTGTGGGATATGTTGAGCTGATATACGCACTTTCAAATATATTCATTTCCAAAAACATTTTGAAGTACTTAGACATATCCCATTACAGTACTGAAATGTACAGGCATAAATTTGATAGGTTTTTAAGTTTTTTGGCAAACTTTAAAACATTTGAACATTTTACTGGGTAGCAGTGATTTGAACATTTTACTGGGTAGCAGTGATTTGAACATTTTACTGGGTAGCAGTGATTTGAACATTTTACTGGGTAGCAGTGATTTGAACATTTTACTGGGTAGCAGTGATTTGAACATTTTACTGGGTAGCAGTGATTTGAACATTTTACTGGGTAGCAGTGATTTGAACATTTTACTGGGTAGCAGTGATTTGAACATTTTACTGGGTAGCAGTGATTTGAACATTTTACTGGGTAGCAGTGATTTGAACATTTTACTGGGTAGCAGTGATTTGAACATTTTACTGGGTAGCAGTGATTTGAACATTTTACTGGGTAGCAGTGATTTGAAGGTTATACAATAGTTAACGGTAGAAGATGAAGCGTTAACTTATATTGCGTCACTCCTCCGAGAATTATAACGACTTGCTATATATCCCAAATCAGGATTGGATCAAACACAGATCTGGCCACTGGTGGCGAAAACCTCCCTCTAAGTGGTGTAAAATTAAAGCCTTACCCAACAGCCATAATTTACAAGATAACATTTCATCTTTTCACGACTCAATTTGTTGCGAGATTTAGTTTTTAAACCTTCGTAAATATTGGCATTTTATTTTGCTATGTTAAACGCAGTGCTGAGTCTGACTAGGGTAATCGTGAGGGATATCATTTCAGCGGGAAAAAAAGATTACCGTACACATAGGAACGTGACGGGGATAAAACGTGGATTACTTCTTATCGAAATCATTCCTAGGGGTTTATAGGAGGATTTGTAATCTCTTTTGCCGAAGAGTTCAGATGTAAAGGGGATTAAGATGGTAGAAATGTGTAACAATCCATTTCTTTGTATGTTTTTTTCATGTGGAAGAGTGCATATTGTCGTGGAAATGGTTAGGGGTAAACGTTGTGTACACTGGGGTAGCATAGGAGTTGTATGTCAAACTACTGTATAACCGCAAACTTCCACAGTTGTGTACAGAGGTTTTATTTCACTTTCTATAAAAGGATAAAATTGGACTGTTTTATACTATATAATTACGATGTATCTGTAAGTTTAGTGATGGGAAGATTTTGGTTAAGAATTAGAGAATATTTTATGCTGTTTGTTTATTGATATATTAGTTATTAGGAAATCAACTTATTTGATATAGATATCCCAAACAGAAAGAAAATTAAGGTCGCATGTCATCAGTCTAGTCCCCTAAATAATTTCAATTTTAGGAAATTATTTCATTTTGTCATATTGATGGAATAAAAACATCATCATATGATCATTTGAGTACAAATCTGATCAGCTTTGTTCTCCTTATAGACAGAACTATCTGTCAAAACCCATTAAGTAAGGTGATACATATCTTATGAATACCGTGTTATGCAGTGCCATAAAGCCATCACATACATTATGTTTATGTAACGTCTGTAATATCACTCCGGAAATGACGTCACAATCGAATAGGAACAATCAATGTGTACGTCACGTCATTGTGAAGCGGATAAGTTTTCATTGTTTCAGAGGCGGCCAAGTGCAAAATATTCGTTCAGATCACAATTATACAGTTTACTTTGTTTAATATGATAAAAAGAATCTGTCATTAATTTCCCTTCATATTAAATTTATGATACTCGTTTTGGATTTTTCATATTTGCTCGCCAGAGGCTTGCAAACATGAAAAATCCAGAACTTGTATCATAAATCTAATATGAAGGGAAACGAATGACAGATCCTGTATTTACATGTAGATCAGTCAAAGAAATCTATATTGATATATCTATCACCAAGATTTAACCTTAACAAAACTATACAAACGGTCTACAGTTTTAGATTGAACAAGGCCAGAATTCTTTTACAACATCTTCATCCAATTTTTTATTTAATTAACATAATTTATTTCCCCTCTGATGTTTATAAGTGGTCGAGACGTCCTATATGATATATATTTTAATTAACCTAATCAGTGCCAAGCGGAAATATTCAACCAAGACTCTCCTCAACAGATGCATTAAGAATTATGCACTGGGAAAAATATGATAATTGTAGAAGTGGGAATCAAAAACTGATTCCGTAATATAAGTTTAAAGATGAAGAAACTAAGCACCTAGAATTAGAAATTATTCACTAAAATTATGTGAAAAAGCATGAGAAACTCCAAATGACATATGGAAAACATAGAATTACGGGATAGACCCACTTGAGTAATTACGGCCGAGATGTTAGTTATTGTGTGTTTCGGTATACGGACGGGTAGTGAAGTTTAGATTGGAGTTAAATTGTCACTTATATGAAGCGGTTTGTACCTTGTATTGGACCGGTATCTCGCACATTGATCTGTTAATGAACAGAATATTCTGGAGGGTTTGCTAAAGGATGGGGAGGGTAACGGATGGGGAGGGAAGAAATGGGAGAAGGTGATGTCTGTGTGTGGTTTTTTGAAAGATTCGACAGAAGATGCAATGATTTATTTTTTTAATTTATGCTTCCTGTTTTGTCATTATTCTTAAATAAATCCCCAGTAGATTAATTATGAGTTTATTAGCACAAGCCTGATCACTCTATCATGTGTAGGAAGTTGCTGGTCATATTAAAAAGTCCTAGTCAAAAATATTTTCCTGGTATTAAACATTATTATAATGATTAAGTTCTAACGTCATAAAATCCGTTTTTCAGACCATGATCATGAGCAGTCATGAGAAACTAAAAGTATCCAAAGGAATGGTGTAATATCGAAAATTTGATAGATTTTAATTTTATAAAAAAAAAAATGTACAAGATTTTTGAAATTAAACTTACGTAAGATTCTATACCCATACGCACATATTAATCTTTAAAAAGAAAATTTATGGCTTGAAATTTAAGACCATTTTGTGTGAAATTTATAAATATATTAAAATAAAGATATTTGTCTAAATTCTTGGATAATAAAATGATTATTTTAAGAATTGATACATCAAATTGTCACTGTAATTTTTAGTAAAAATACATTTCTCGGTTATTGCTTGCCACAGTATGGAGAAATATTTGATTGATTTGTCTTTCTGGTTTGTTTGTTTTTTTGACAAAAGATATGATTGTCAAATTTCTTTTTGATTGACATTACCAAATTTTATTAAAGCATTGAAATGTATTTAATGGTTTCAAAATTATGTATGTTCCAGGTACAAAGTCGTTACCTGTGCATTGCATCATTGAGCAAACAACAGGGGTCGTGACCTTTGACACCCCGGAGTGTGGCTCCAACAGTTCCGTGGAGCTGGATTCCTACGCGATACTTCCCAGTACCACCCTTTTCGGCGAAGTTGTGAGGACCGCACTTATCAAACTGGGATACAACCCCTCAGAGGCCATCAGTGCTAAAGGTAACCACGGAAACCCTCGCCAATAGTTAATCCCTTAAATACAGTAAATTACTTTATTGTAGTGAAGTGGACGTCAAACCACTCAAACAAAGTCAATTACTTTATCAGATACTGTTAAATGTCTTAGTTTTGCGAGGTTAAATTTTACAGTTTTTGTTTCAAGAACAAATTTTAAGGGTTTTAATTTTGTGCAACACCATAAATAAATACTAATCTTTGTTCTTCTATAAGGACTAAGTTCAAAGAGTACATATTTTGTCTGTTATTTCCAGGTGTTGTTTTTTTTGTAAAAACATAATCTCGGTGAAGTGTGTATTATAAGTACCTGTATAGTATAGGTACTAGATATTTGATCAATAATTTTCTAGAATGTAAAATATAAGATCTTGTTATATTTCTTCAGACACACTATTGTTATTTAAACATTCTTGAAGGATGGTCATAAAAATAAGTAGCCAGAAAAGTTAATTTATTTGAATGTGTTTGTTTCAACACCTGTGCTAAGTAACACATATTTCTACAGACGATTATTTTACGCTCCAATCTATACTCTTAAAACCTGTAACACAGTCGAAACAAAGTAGAATATTCAGAAAGTTCAATAAAAAAAATTTGATCATTGAATTACTTTCTTTTTAAAAACAATGGGTTTTTTTGTGTGTTTTTTCAATAAATGAAATTTAAAAGGAGAAGTGTTGATGGACTGTCAGGACTTATCAATGATAATGATACTGAGAAAATAAATGAATTATATAAAATGTTAAATGAAACTTTCAGTAGCATTTCAGAATATGTAGAAACAACAGATCATAGATAAATTGGTCTTTCCTCAGCTCTGCAATCTGAACGCTTTCTAGAAATGGATATTTGAAATAGAACACAATGTTTCCAATATCGTCGTTAACTTTGAATGAAATGGAAAGTGAACGCATCCATATATATAAAGTCGGGCTGAAAATGACTAGATTTTATACACAAGTGGAATTCAATCAGAAATGTTACTGGCACGTATACCAAACATAAGTGTTCAGGTTTAGACACTCAATGGGAGAAAGCTAGACGGCCTTACACATGGATGAGAAATATTGGTAAATCGCAAACTGGATCACTTTTAAATTGAGTAGGAGAAACTGGAATATTAAATATTGAGGAAAAACATTAGTAAATCAATGCTTTGATCGTTTTCGTTATTTTTGACATTTGTGCATCAGAGAAGAAACTCTTGTGTTTAAATATTCATCACCAATTTGGCTAAATGGCTTCTTTGATCAGCTGTTTAGTTCTGGTATAAAACATTAAGATATTAAAGCTCTGACAAGAAATTTTGTAATCAAGGTTTTGATCAAGCTCAAATATTTTTCATGCGTCTTAACGGGATTGATGATTGGTAAAACGTAATTTCCATCGATGTTGTTTACCCACAAACAGGTGCAGTACAAATCAAGAACTGGCGACCTTTGACCTTCGAAGTTATCACTGATGACGAAAAAGCAACACTGGAAGATATTTGGGGAGAACTGACACAGGTGGCGACACTGCGGATACGCCTCAGCAGGTATCAATCAATAGTTCCAAGGTCAAACAGTCAATTGTACAAAGTCCTGATTATTTCAGACACTGAACTATAAGAAAAAAGAAACCATTTATGACAAACTCAAACCCTTCAGAAATAAACTCAAACTTGTCGGAACAAAATCTTGATAAAAACCTTTGTTTATTTATTCTTTTGTCTGAATTAATCATACGGATTGATCAACACTTTTATCCTGTTTTTATAAACTTAAATAGCAAACAGTAATACATTTCTGTTGAATCTAACACATTGTTTTTATTTTGTGGAATTCCTCATCCATAAAATAAATGGAAAGTTATGTTTATGAAACATCCTTGATCAACCATTATATAACCATGACATCCCCAGGGGAGACAACCTTCACTGACACAATATTGTATATAAAAAGATAATATTGTTTTGTATCCTTTCAACCAGCATATCTTAATACATTATTATTATGAAGAAAGTTACTTTCGCTTCCTTTCAACTCTCATCAAAATAAAAACCGTTTGGATTGAAATTGAATGTCAACCATTTTAAAATAAAGTGTGTTTTCCAGTTGTTGTGTGGGTATTTTCTATAATACTAAATACAGATACCAAGTAGCTTGTAGTTCCGATTTTTAAACGACATGCGCCAATTTTGGTTTGCACTTTCCAGCCAATCAAAGTTGAGCTCTACCGACGAAGTGAAGAGTAAATTACTACAACTTCTCCTTACCCAATCACACGGGCTCCTCCTCACATCCGGCTGTCCCATAGAAAAGGTGAGTTACTTCCTTTCTGTTGTAAACTTCTGACATATTTATGGGTTTCGCTGTATGTAAACTTCTGTCATATTTATGGGTTTCGATGTATGTAAACTTCTGTCATATTTATGGGTTTCGATGTATGTAAACTTCTGTCATATTTTTGGGTTTTGCTGTATGTAAACTTTTGTCATATTTATCGGTTTCGCTGTATGTAAACTTCTGTCATATTTATGGGTTTCGCTGTATGTAAATTTCTGTCATATTAATAACTTCTGTCATATTTATGGGTTTCGCTGTATGTAAACTTTATTTTTCTTTTATAACAAATATGAAACAACTTTTTTCAACTTGTATTTATAAAACCTTGTTGGCCCGAATGGAAACACACAGGGGTCATAACTTGTATACTTTGCAGTGTTCATCATTTGTTAATATTAAAAATTGTGGTATGTTTAACACTAAAAAAAAATCAAAAAAAATCTGCACTTTTAGATGCTAAATGTATGAGGTACCTTGAAAGTATATGTTTTGTTTCTCCTAGCTTTACAGTACATCGGGTATTTAAACCATCCCTTACTATGATTTTGTTATACTTTCTTTGTCGTTGCAGTCTCTGCTCTCCTCCATTACCAAGGGTGACACACTGTCTAGTCTTCCGCATGATGTGCGCTGTGCGTTTGACAAGTGGTATGATGAACAAGTAGAGAAAGCCAAAAAGTCTCAGGAGCAGAATGGGGCACCTGAAGATCTACGCTCTCCCGAAAAGGCTCTCAATGGCACCATCAATGGCACTGTAGCTGCCCACGAGAATCACTTCAGCAACAGCCCAGCCAATCACAGCCCTCCACTCACCTCACTTACGGGTCTGAATCACGGCAAGACTAGGATGCGCACATCTTTCGATCCTGAGCATGAAATTCCCCGTCTCCAGAAATGGTTTGCAGAGTGCCAGCACCCTACAAGAGAGCAAATGATTCGGTTTCTCGAAGAGTTGAATAAACTGGAATCTCGCAAAGGAAGACGTCCATTAGATCTCACCAATATAATCTACTGGTTCAAAAACGCTCGAGCAGCTCATCGTCGGGCTTCTAGAAACTTTGATGATAACTCTTTTGAAATGGAGGAGGGATTGGAGAACAGTCCCGTTACAATTGATCGTAATGTTCCCTACTTGCCCAATAAAAATGCTGTGTATATTGTCCCCTACCCTTACCACGGTCCCTTCATGTCACATGACTCGTCACATGACCAGTCCAAAGAGCCATGTGACCTGTCCCAATCCCGAAGGCCAGTCTCTAGTCCAGATATTAAGAAGGAGAAAGACTTATGTGACAGCAAGTCAGATAGTGCAGATGAGGAAGTGGAGGCCATGGACACCATGGAAACGCATCAAGAAAAGTCTCCAGTCAGCATTAAGGAGGAGACACCAGATTTAGGAGATGGTGAGTGTGTGACAGATCTCATTAAAGGGGTCAAGGACGATGTAGATCGAATAAGCATGGGGGAGCGTGAGGCACCACAATCCAACGGCATGCACATGTCTGACTCGGAAGATGACGATGACATGGAGTCAGATTATGAGGAACAATCAAACGAGGATTCAGAATCTAGTCATAAACTTTCATCTCTATCCTACAATAAGGACTTCTCAGAGGCGGACTACCTCAGCAACCATATATCAAGGATGCCGACAACCCCAACAAGTGGCCTCCACCAGCCCCTACACATCCCCCACTTTCCCCACCCCCTGGCCATGCACTACTTTCCGATGAATACTCACTTCATGGCACAGCAGTCTGCTGCTGCAAGACTTCAACATCATCAGCACCAGCAACAACAGCAATCGCAGCATCCTCATCACAAAGCAAGCCCAGGAAATGCTCACCGTAAACGGCGCACGCGAGTCTTCATTGATCCCATGACAGAGATCCCGAAACTTGAGAAGTGGTTTACAGAAGACACACACCCATCGTCGTACATGATTGATAAATACTGCGAGGACCTTAATCGCTCCGATTATAGGCAAAAGTTTCCAAAACTAGAGCCAAAAAATGTTCAGCTGTGGTTTAAGAACCACCGAGCTAAAGTCAAACGCATGAGAGTTACCTCTCATTTAGACTGACTTATGTTATTGACCTTGTTATTGAATGTAATGACCTCTGACCCCAGTTTTGATTGGCCAGACAAATCCAGCTTGCTCGGTTGTTTTCTGTTGGCTTGTATAATGTGCTGACCTCAGCTTTCGCAGACCATTTTATATTAGTGCTGTTTGACTTCACATCTTCTTCAGAATGAAAAAATTTATTTTGAAATCTAAAATCAGCCTTCCTTAAGTGTTAAGGTTGTTTTTCATCTTAAGATTTAATGTAAAGTTCCTGATAAAGTTTATAGGTTTGATTTTTTAACTTAATAACTGTGTAAGATTTGAAAACAGTGGTGGTGAACAGAGCTTATATAATTTGGTTTGTTTTTAACTGAGACTATTCATGTATATAATGGATTTCATGTTGTTTTGTCTCATGATTTGACCAAAGGGGGAGAGTTCTCTCCCTTTTTAATTGTTTTTTATGTTTATTTGTCTGTTACATTAACAAATTCAACATTTGGAAAGTGTTTGTACTGTGATAATATTTTTGTATTTATATTTTCTGAATCTGAAATGGCAATATGATGCAAGATATCACAAGATTGACAGCAAGTCCTTTTCTGATAAGCATTATGTAAACTAACTGGGGCTGTCGCATTCTGATCAGCATTACGCAACTTACTGGGAAAGTACGAGGACAGTTTTCTTATCAAGTTTAACACTACCTTAATATGCCAATCAAATGTTCACTTCTTGTTCATTGAATCGACTTATACATTACTTTAGAGTATGGGTTGTATCATATGTAGTTATCAAATAGCTCTCATAGAATAAATGGTATTAGTTACTTTTAAACAGGCCAATAAATATAATTCTACTCAATTTCCGTACATTTTGTGAAATATTTTGTAACATTACTGATTACTGATTTGAACTATTGATTATTACAATCATTTTCCTTGGTTTTTCTCTTTTTCCTTCAATATGTTTATCCTTTGTTGACTAAAAATTAACAATAATGAAGAAAAAACAGCATAAAGCTCTGAAGATATGAATATGATGATAGCTATTTTTTTTTAAATATTTTCTTGTGTAGATGAATATCATGCTATTGAACATTCGTAGATTAAGTTATGATCTCTGATAGTGTTCATTCAGCAAATCCAGCATTAGGCACGTTACCAAGTGTTAACAACTCATAAAGTGTAAATAAAATATCAGATTACCTCCCCTTCATGTAAAATATATTTAAAACATTTAATTGCAATAAAATATTTACAAAAGAATTTACGAACTTTTGAAGTTTTCACAACTTATAAAATCCTTTTCTAGAATAAAGGTTGATGGACTTTTGAAATTGTGTATTCAGTAAACACATATAAATTATGATATGGTATCACTTAGTGTTTCTAAGGTTACATTAAGGTACACAACATTTTTTGTGAAAAATCAACATTTTAATGTTTCATTGGTAAATCACATTCTTAAAGCAAGTTTATGTATTAAGTTCTATTATTTAACCTTTATCAGTTATTATTTCCTATATTATGTGACATTTGCTAAATGTGAACTTGCAAAGGTAACTGGTGGGGATTTTTTTCCAAAGGGAGGTAATCTGGTAACCACCAATTTGCCTAAGGGGAATTAATCTTTCCATGGAAACTATATAAGCTATGTTAACAAACAGCATTCCCAAATGATCGTTTATTGAACAGAATTATTTTATATACAACATTTCTTCTCATTTTATTTGACCTGCACTTACGTTTTTAGTAGCTTGATTTGTTAAGATTTTTTTGTCGTTTTGTATCTTGACATGGTAATTACCTAAATGTTCTATTGCTTGTAGGATTTGTCTGGTTTTGACTAGAGGAAAACTTTCCAATTCTCTCCAGTGTACACTATTGTTATGATTTCTCCTATTTCAAGGAACTGTTATGATCCATCAATGGAAATTCAAAACAAGCTAATTAAGGAAGTTGGAAAAACAAGAGATGACATTTGGAATGTAATTGGTTAAGACTCATAAATAAATAAAAACTGTCCATATTCCATACTTTTAGATGAAAAATCATTATTCTGCATGCACAATATGATATACTGTTATTGATATCGTTTCATTTATTGGTCAAGCCATTAAGATAGAATCATCTGTATGAAAGTTTTGAACCATTTTTAATGAAGTAGAAATCATTCTAGTTAAATAACAATATCATACATTGTAGAGAATTGCTTGTTTATGATAACTGGTTGTGTGTTATTTAACTCATTCACCCCTGAAGACGCATTTTAACTCTTCCAATTCAAAAGTTTGAATAGTTCATTATAATTTTTTAGGGGTGATTGAGTTAACACTAAAAAGCCATACCAACAGAGACAGATACAGCTTTTACCTTGTGGTACTTTTGGGTTGTTTCTATATATGGATGACCTCTAACCTTTTCATGGAGGTCAAATTGACCCTTTTTTCAAATTTAATAAAATGAATATGCATTATATTGTTTAATCTCAGGTGTAAAAATTAATGACATCATCGTAAAATGTTTGAAATGTTTTTATGAAGGCATGGAAGAATGTCATTGATGAATAATGTGTACATTAGTAGCTGATTCAGTCTTTGAAATAATTTATGAATAAGATACTTTTTTGCGATGAGCATTATTAACAGAACTGTACATAGCGGCGACCTCTATACCTCATTGTCATTATCCAAGAATTACAGCGGAGTCGATGTTTGTTCTACAGACATTGATATCATCGTCCCTTTACAGTAATTCAGCTTCCTAGTCACAATACGCCTCTCTTTCTTCCCCTTATCGTTAAAACAACAGTACATGTTTCAAACAGATTGCTGCTATATGCAGTGTTTGGTATTGTTAAGAGTTCAAATGTTCATACACATATGTTGTTAATGACCAGGAATTTTTGTTCTGTTAAAATTCACATTATTCAGTTGATGTCATTTTATGTAAGAATCAGCCCAAAGTATACACTTATAAATACAGATTTACCTCATAGCTACCACAATGAGTTCCCCACGTATTGTCACAATGCACCGCCACTGCCAGACGAAAGTAGTGTTCAACAGACGTGGAATGTTTTTCTGCAAATATTTCTTTCAGTAGCAGATTTGTACATGAAAAAATATATATATACCATGTTTAAAAATGTGAAATTCAAAACAATGTTTCAGCTTTGTATATTTATAGTATTGTTATATTGAGGTTAACCCTTTCACCACTATAGACCATAATGGACTTCTTCAGATCAATGCATGGAAGAGTTTATTAAAGTCACACAGGGTGAAAGGGTTAAGCTAAACATGTCCTAGTAACACATACAGAATGATTACAACAAATTATAAGACAGATACTGTGATGATTCTAACGATTGCCCCAGTCATTTACATTGACCTACCTCAAATTTCAGAAACATGATATGATAGAAATCTTTTGAAACTATAAAGTGATTTTGGCGATAAGGTGCACAAAGAAATCGTTAAGAAAATAAGGTGCAGGGAACCTTGTGAACTGTTGGAGATAAGGGAGGTGGTAATGGAGGTTTTACTGTATAGTGTATGGTGTATCACAATAAGGTACCATCTAACTTAATGTCGCATGACAAGCTGGGACCAGTGAAAAGTCTCTTTAAAGTTTAACCAATTCCTTGTGATCTGTAGGCTGGACTGGCGCACCTTGGTACCAGTACTAAAACATTTATCATATTAATGCCCTTCTCTCTCCCCTCCCAATTTTGTGTTCAAATGAAAATCAAGCTATTTTTAGAATCGTCACAGTAACTGATTCAATTTTTAACTTGACAGCATTGTGAAGTACACAGGTTGTTTTAGTGAATTATTAAATGGATTTTAAGTGTGGCTAGATAAAGTGGCTAAATGTACCACAGTATAGTGCTAACGAGTGTAGTATGATAAGGACTACAATTGTATACTGACTATGCAATTTCACTGCTGTTTGATTCTGCACATGTTGTCTTACCCTCTGTGTTATAACTGTATGATTTATATGTGTTATACTGTTCGCTATATAATCTATGTGCGTAAAACAAATGACAATGACTTTTTCTGCATCTTTTTCTCTGTTATTGATTATTTTGTGAAATTATTTTGATATATTTGTTGTATCTTTTTATGTTATTTTGACAAAACAAATCGGAACTCTTTGGTGCCGCTTTGTTTAAAAAAAATCTTTGACATTCTAAATCTTTATAAAAGTGTCTGCCATTGGTCAATATAGAACTGATTACGCAATTCCATTGGTTGATTCTGATTTTACGCAATTTTTTGTTTTTAATAGTAAATTAACACAACATTTTTAATGAAAAATTTTGAAACAGTATTTCTGACAGCTTCAGAATTAAAATATTGCCTATCTGAATCTTTGTTTTCAGAATTTCTGAGTTAGTAGATTCTTGCTATGATTTCGTTGGTTCTAACTACTTCTCAACATTTTGTTTTGGTGCTAGGTTTTATTGTCATCTGTATTATCTTATTTTTTCATTTAGAAATTGAAATGATATTACATACTTATCATTAAGTCACAAATTGTATCTTGTTTTAAGACTTTTTAATCTTGATGAAGTTTTGAAAATGTTCTTACAACTAACAACACAGCTAACTCTTTGTACTATTGCAATCTGAACGCTGATTATCACCAAAGGCAAAGAAACCATAGTCTTGTATCCATATAAGGCCTTCATTAAGTCAATGACCATATTTGGTCATTACCAGTATGACCATATTTGGTCATTACCAGTATGATGTTGTGCTGTGCCCCACCTGACGATGTGACACAATTGTGTCTCTCTTTTTGTTTTGTGAAAATATTCCTATATTTATGATACTGTTTTTGGATATGAAACACATGCAATATATAATATTGACAAAGGATGGTGTCGACCATCTGCCACGGGCTTCAGCAATTAATTATATGTATATATTGACAGTGTAAACGGCTAACGCAGTTGACCCCCTCCAATGTTTTTGGAATATAATTATGTGAGTATTCCCCGTTTTTTGTCAGAACTTTTTATACATTTAGAGTTATCTCCCCAATCCATATGACAAGATAATGTAATTGCATGAAGATATGTTTTTTATGACGGTAATACTCTAAAGCGTCTAAAATTTGAGATGAGGTGTAAGCAAATTCGTAAAGCAGTTGAACACAATTACGTAACATTAATTACTGCACCATTACGTAACATTAATTACTGCACCAAAAGAGTATAAATTCTTCCTTTTATGTTCATACTTGAGCTGAAGTAGTTGATCATATTACCTCACAAACGTCGAAACAATTTATAGTTGCAAGTGGAGATAACTCTTGGAATTAAACAACAGCCCGACACTTGACGAGTGGCATTGTTCATCAGAGTTATGAACTTACGAGGCATTTTATTTGCTGGAGAACTTGATAATCAGATCTTTTGCCCAACACTTTTAGCATTCCTTGTGGGTTTTATTTTATTTTGTCTCCATTCCACCAGAGGAAGTTAATACACAGAATTGTATAAGGTAGACTAACAGGATGTAGTACAGAATAGCACAGTTAATCATTGTATGTACCGTCGGGGGTGGGGGGCAGGTTCTATAATTGATTCGTAAATTTACATTTGTATTCGATATACCAAGGTTTCTTCAAATGTTTGCACTTTATTTGTAAGTTCATGACATCACAAAGTATTCCACTGTTTTGACCAGCCCTGATGTACCAGGCGTCAATATCACCAGGGAGAAAAAGGAATATTAGAATTAAAATGTTAAAATATTTTATTTTAAATAAGTTTGTGATTTAAGTCCCATACATGGTATAGTGTCACATGTTTTAAGGAGTCCTGTACCACTGCCAAAAATTGTAACTGTAAATCCAGTTATTTTACCACATGACAAAAGCTTATCAAGCAGAAAGGATTGTATAAAAAATGATACAGAGGAAATAACAAACAAAAAAATCAAGTGTTCTTAGAATAAAGTTATCAGAGGTCAGACCCTAATTCAAACCCATGACCTCAGATCAAAATACAGTCTCTCCAATCAACTGAGTTATGTGAAAAGCAGAACTTTCGTAGACCAGACTAACTATATATAGGTATAATCAAAGCAAAATTAATAGGATATTACAGTATGTATGAATTACGTTGGGGCAGGGATCCTAGTTTTTAAAGAATCACGTCTTTAATGGAAGTGTAAATGATAAGTTTGGTTTTAAGGAAACATGACCAATTCATCCTATCAACTACGACAGAAAAAAAATCCTGTGTTTCGTAAATGTAGTGTGTGATTTTTATTTTTAGTTCTAGGCCGACTGTAGGCCTCAATTTAGTTGTGCAATATTTCTCCAATTTACATCTCATTTTCGTTTATGTTTTTGAATTTTCATTTTTGTTAATGATTTTATCTGTAAATTTGAAAAGATTTTCTTTAATTCAGTTTTTTTCTTTTCACTTCAAGTGTTTCTTTTATATCAAGAATTTTGTATTGATGTACTAACTTGTGTCATTCTAAAACTCCAATAAATAATATCAAGATGTTTTAAAATCAACAATCTGTATATCATAGAGTAATGACTTCTGATTGGATAATAAATATGACAATTGCCAAACGCTGGCAGTAATATGAGATTGTGCATTATCTTGATTTAATATGCATCAGTTTTGAAATGTACATGATGTACTACAAAATTTTATGATGCGTTTGATTGATATTTTCATCCATGTCTCATAGTAGCTGTAGCTGGCGGCCAGGCTTAGTAAACAGTGGCCATTTTATGCGATATTAGGTTCTAGATGAACCCTTCTCATATTCATCTTACGAAAGTCCTTGATTGACGTTAATATAGAAAAATATGATAAATCAACTTTATAGATTTGATCTTAACTGTAGAAGCGGTAGATGAGGATATCGTCTCTCAGGTGTCTGCGACAAGTTTTTGGTTAACAGGTTTTAGACAATTAAATTAGTGTAAAATATGTGTTTAGATTAGGTAGCTCAGCGGTAGAGCATCGGGCTGGAGAGCCAAGGGTCGTGGGGTCGAGCCCCAGCGACGACACCATATCTATCACTATTCCTCGTCCTACTACATTACATTGCTACTGCCGAAGATGTCAACTTTCCCCTACCAAGCTCATTTTTTTTTTTTATCTTAGTAAATAATTCACTTCTGAGAAAGTCAGAGTTGATTTTAAATTACACTTAGTTAACGAATTAATGTTTTAGAAGTCAGAGTTAATTTTAACTTGCATTTCAGATAATGCTATCCAATATTGTCTATCATATCCTGAAATCAAATTTTTTATATAATGTACTGAGATTTGTGAATTGTGTTTTTATTAAATTGTTGATACTTCTATTGGTGGAAACTGTACTGTTGTAGTCAGTTTGGTAGATATAGATGGTATATACAGTGATCCTGTCCACGTTCACTTACTCTATATGTCTTGGTAATTGTTTGGCCTGAAGGATTTAATCAACATTTACGGCACAAAACAATAGCCGTATAAATGTTTGACTAAAATGACAACTAGATAATAAGGTGCCGAGACAATCTCGTCCGAGTTAGTTATTCGTTAATGAATATAAGATCTATATGCTGGTTGTCAGTACCATATAAAGACCCATGCCTAGTTGGTTTATTAGAACATGTGTTGTAGATATAAAGGCCTTTCTCATTGTAATTTTTTGTAAAACAATTGGAATTTTTGTGTTAAATACTCAAACCTTGAAAGAAATGACTCAATTTTAAAATCTGATCAGTTAAGATGATATAACTGGTCTTTGAAAGGAAATTTGTAGGAATTCATTGGAAAGTTAGTTCTGTGACCTTTTTTCAAGAGTTCTGTGAAACAGGAATCGATGAATTTTTATGTAAGATAAGGACTTTTTATGATAAACAGGAGAAGGTCTAACCCATTGTCTTTCAATAGAAAAGTGTTATGCAAAATATACTTTGCCTCCGGATCCTCTCACCCCTCCCACTTTCAAAACCCATCCAAAACACTGATTTGTCATAAAACGTCTTCTTCAAAAGTAGTGTTACATTGTAGATATAGAGATGCAACTGATCGGAAACCCAAAACTTATAAGTGCTGATATAAAACTGGATTACTAGGTGTTAAATAGGGTTCTTTTATATTTCTAGGGGTGAAAGGATCTCAAGTCTAATGTTTACCCTGG